ACTTTTCCCTTCGAGCAGAGAAAGATTTTGCATGCTTGCACAAACTCTCTGCGAACTTTCCAAACACTGTGCAAGATCACTCACATCACATGTAGCCAACACCGCGGCTATATTGCAAAAGAATGCAAAAAATTTGGAAAATGGTGTGGAAAAGACAGGACACTATATAAATCTGCAAAACCGTTCAGCGATCCGAAAGCGTCTTTCCAGGCTGCAAGCTGTAATAATACTGATGTGCAGCTGTACAATGACGCAGTCGCTAAGGAGACCATCCTTTATTTAGATCTGGTGTCAAGTCTTTGAGCTGTCAGCGAGACTGAGCTGACACTTATCATCACTCCCCATGTGGTAGAGTATGTCGAGATCAATCAAAAGTCCTGAAGAGCAATTGTTGGAATTTTTTGAGTAAGTACAACCAAAAACATGATTTCTGTACATGCTTTATTTAAAACCTCTTAAACTTTATACAAACAGTACATTTCAGTGTGACTCAGTCGATGCATGGAACATGGGAGAGCTCATAAATATAGAAAATATCTCATTTCTTCTTCTTTTCCTCTTTGTTTACACTTGAATAAATAGAAATGTGTACGTTTCACCTTCAAGAATTAATCTGAAGACTTGAGCAGGACACTTTTTAGTCACTTTTTCCTTCAACACACACACACAGAAAATCATCTCTTTGGCATATGCATCATAAATAAAGGCACATTTTATTCTGTGCATAGAAATTCCACCAGTCTGAAGCCACATCTGGTAAAATATAGTCTACAGCTCATTATGGTATGTTACAGGATGAGAGTCTGTATAAAGACGACTTCATTTCATTTCATCGGTCTTGAAGTGCAGAAAACATCTGTAACCTCTGTGAAGTTGTTTTGTGTCCACGTTTTCTGAAGCTTCATGGCTTTGTTTCTTCTTCATGAAAGCTCCCAGCTCTTGGTGCCTTCATTGCTACCTTTGGCACAGTGACGTGACCCATCTGGTAATATTTTACTGACGGATCGTATCATCCATCAAGACGTCTCTTAAGCAGCTTCAATCGCCCCCTCCTCGTCCGTCAGCTAAAACGAGTCTGTCCGTCTCCTGGCGAACACCGCAGACATGCTTTTCACTATGCCCTTGAACCCCAGAGGCCTCTTGGCGGTCAGCTTTGCGTCCTTCATCCTGTCCACCAGGCCGTGAAACCCCATGAGCACGCTGTGGTAGTTCTCAGCTGCCGACACCTCGTAGAAGTGGCAGTCCGTGTTGAGAGCCAGCAGCCGGCCCTCCTCGCTCAGCACCGTGCGCCTGTGGTGCAGGTCCCTCTTGTTGCCCACGATCACTATGGGCGGCTTGTCGGCGCTGAGGTAGTCTTTGGCGGACTTGATGGCCTGGATGAGCCTGCTGACGCTGTTGAAGCTGGCCCTGTCGCAGATGCTGTAGACCAGAACGAAGCCGTCTGCCCACCGGACCTTCTTCTGGAAGAGTGACGTCTCCACGGACGAGTCCTGTAAAATCAGACGTTTGTGTTTATTTACAGCAATTGAGGACTTCACTTAAGAATAAATATGACACAGTTGTTGATTTTTCCATTTTGTGCTCCTTAAACTTTATTTTAACTACCAGATTTCTAGTAATTAAGAGACTGCTATAGTACTTTTTTTCCTATTAAATCATCTTTAACATTCAAATTCTTCTTGATGCAACAACTAAACAATATTATAACAGAATTCAAGGGACCATTCAGCATATAGCGTAACTTTTAACTAATAATACTGTTACTGTAACTTGTAGTGCAGCAGTTTTAACATTGTTCATTCAATATCTGAGTATTAAAAGTAATAGTAGAGCATGTTAGCAGAATTAAACTACATTAACATCACCATATAATTTGTCTCCTCACCTCAGAATAAGGTGAATCCCAGATATTCAGAGTGATCTCCCTCCCATCTGCTATGAAACTGTGACTGTAGATGGATTCTGCAGGACAAAAACAGGTAAATATGAATAAATCATAAGTTTAGGTAAAGTTGCATTAATTTAAAATAAAAGTGAAGCACTACAGCAAACTTTGCAGAACAGACTGGACACTTACCAATATCTCCATACTCCCCAATGAACCTCCGCGTTAACAGGCGCACAGTCAAAGCTGGAAGAACAACAACAAACTTTAATTTAAGCTTTAACTTAGAAACATATACCCGATCTTACATCTCCTCCAACTACGTGTTCTTACCTGATTTCCCGACGCTCTCGGTCCCCAAAACAACAATGTTGGCTTCCATGTTTTCAGACTGGCAGCTGTGCCAAACCTCGGAGCTCCATGTGAGGCGGAGCTGCTGCTGCTGCTGCTGCTGGCGGCGCACAGGCTTATTATAGGACAGGCAGGTGGGCGGAGTAAACAAAGTAGCCCACAACATCAACAACATCAACAACAACAATAACAGTGATGATGATTTAATAATGTCGCCCTCACGTGGTTTCACTCTCATGCGTGACCGTGGAGCCAGCAGACGGTCACTGGTCTGACGGCGCTGCCTGCGGCGCTGCAGCCGCACAGTGAGATCAGCGCCTCATGCTCACGTTTCACTGGAGCAGCGACTTCTGGAAAGACGTAAGAAGGTAAACAGAGTTAGAATAAAACTATATATAGTGTTAGCTCCAGGGCAGTAGGTGACAGCGCACAATGAGTAGTGCTGCCAACATATTAATGCATCAATAACGCCAGTCTGATCACGTGATTTTATAGTTTTAAACCCAGTTAGATAATTTTCTAACGTGGACTATTTTTATTTTTAATATTTTTTTAGTTTATGTTTGACAATTAACATTATTATTATTATTGCTAGTAGTAGCAGTAGTAGTAGTATTAAAAACAATAATAATAATACAATTAAAAATATTGTTATTATTGTTTTATTGTTACTAATGTTGTTATTATTATTAACATTAACAATAATAACAATACAATGAAAAATATTGTTACTATTGTTGTTATTAATGTTGTTATTAATAATAATAATAATAATAATAATAATAAGAAGAAGAAGAAGAAGAAGAAGAAGAAGAAGAATACAATTAAAAATATTGTTGTTGTTGTTATCATTATTACTACCAATAACAATCATAATACCACTGGTGTTATGGAGTCATTTTTGATAAGTAATGAAGGTAAATGTCATGAATTTTGAATCAACTCCACAATCGTCACTCATACAACCTTTTTTTTTTTTTCTTTTTGCCCAGAGTTACTTCAGTATTCATCATTTGCTCATCTTACCTTCTGAGTTCCTGTTCCTGTCTTGAATATTTCTTTTAAGAGTGCAATCATAGTTGTTAGCTGATAGTTTTTAATGACATTAGTGAGATTGTAACTGGATTAAGATATTAACATCAACAACAATGACACATTTTCACTGAAAACACTGTAAACCTTAACGTTTGTCTTCATTGAGGACATTTGCCATTTGTTATCATATATTATACAGGATTTTAGTAGTAGTTTTGTTATTATTATTATTATTATTATTATTATTATTATTATTATTGCTATCCCTTACTTATCCCTTCACCCTGAGTCAGCTGGGATAGACTCCAGCCCTCTGCGACCCTCGTGAGGATTAAGCGGTATATTGATAATGGATGGATGGATTACTATTATCACACCGTGCTGCTGCTCTTCCCAATAATTTGTTTCCTAATCATTTCTTTCCTGTTTTTTAATTGACTGAGTGTTACTGTTGTCTCTGTCGGTGTTGTGCTGCTTGTAGAACAACAATTTCCCTCGAGGTACCCGACCAAAGGGACCAATAAAGTTCTATCTAATCTAATCTAAACATGTGTAATGAATTATTTACAATTAAAACTTATATATATATATATATATATGTTATGGAGTTCAAAAATGTGTAAGCTTTAGCCACACACACATAGTTGCTACTTTCTTAGGGACCTCTATCTAAAACCATCCTTTCAGCTTTAGAAGCCGGCTGCTGGAGGAGTTCCCATGATGCACTGGGCACCTCTCCTCTACTCTAAATCTCTTTCCATACACTGTAAAATAAATAAATAAATAAATTACATATATGTTTAAAGAAAATTAATCTGGCAGCAAGGGTGCAAGAACAAACACATAAAAAATGGTGAAAATAATAGTAAGTAAATATCTGTAAAATAATGACATTTTTAGTTGATTTAAATAATAAATACTAAACCAATGTAACTTTGTGATCACAGACACCATAAAAGGACAACTTTTAATTATTTATAACTAAATAGAATTGAAATGTTGTTGTTGTTTTGACGACCAACATGCAAATTAATCATATTTCCTGTTATATGTTTTATTAGATTTTATTTGTCATTTCACAAAAAGGGGAAATCTGTCAAATTACAGTCAAAAGGTGATTTTCTGTGTGCAATTCTTCATTATTTTTTTCAAATAACGGCAAATGTTTGTGAAATGCTGATTTTTCATGCAGATTTTAAAAACAAACAAAACAACAACAAAAACAAACAAACAAACAAAAAACTTTATGGTTAAACAACATATAACCAATTGTAAAGAAGTACAGATTCAGCATTTATCTTTTTTTTCACAGTTATAGTGTAAAATAGTGTAACTGTGTATGTGTAACTACAAGACAGCGAAAACCCGTGAAAACTTATTCTTAAAAATCAATCAATTTCTTACAGTGTACAGACAAAAATTTTACAAAATAATTTGGTCCCATGTAAATGTATACATTTGTGACAATGCAGGATGGATTTGTTGGGTTTCCCTGTCATATATTTTGTCAGGTGTTCGTCTTATTATGGGAAGTGACTTGAGATGACTTGCGTTGTGAATTGGTTTTGTATAAATAAAACCAAAGTGAGCAGAATTTAAACCCCCAGTCTAAAGCAAAAATCCTGCAATAAAACCTGTTTTGTTGTTATGTGAGATAAAGAGATGTGGGAGCCTGTAGTGTGTTGTACTGTTGTGTGATTTAGCCTGCAGCATACTGTGATAGTTAATCCACCAGAACAACCACAACCTGGATGACTGAGAATTTTCACTTACATATTGTGATTCACTGACTATATGGATTAAAATACTGATCTGCTTAAATGCCAGTTTCAATTTAAAAAAAAAGATTCCATTCACAGAAGTTGTATGAGTCTCTTTTTATTGTCAACTTCAATCCACTCTCTGAAAGTTGATCATCTCTTTGGTACTGTGATGTTACCAGCAACCACAAGGGGGAAGTAGATTTCAATAAATGTCCTCCACAACCAGCTCACGTTGTTTTGCTTCCTGGAGCCAGAAAAGGCAGAGGGGACAGGATGGACAGTGATTGGTTGAACTGAAAAAGACCCTCAGATAATTGGCTGTTTGTGCAGACGGACTGCAACGCCCGCCTCCCTGTGTTTGTGTAGGTGTGGATTTGTATGGCTGTCTTTGTGAGGAGCAGCTTCTTGGGTTTAAAACTTTGGGAGTGGGGCCATTTTTGAGGGGGGGGTGAAGACAGTGTAGCTGGTCTTCACATTGAGATGGACCTTAAATGGGTTGTTTAGGACTTGGTTTTAGGCCTTTAGGTTGGAATGAGGTTAGAGTTAGAGCAAGGTTTGGGGATTTAGGGGCTAAAGAATGCATTATGAGAATGAGTGTTCTTATAAACATCCAAAGAAGAAAGCATGGATGTGTGTGTGTGTTGCTAATGTAGATGGGACATTAATCTGTTTACATGTTGTGCAGGTCTGACCTCCTTATGGGCATCTTTCAGTTTTAGGGGCAAGAGAGTGGTTCGATTTAGGTTGGGGTTACAGCTGGGCAAGTAGGGGTTATAGTTAGGGTTCGGGTAAGTCGCCAAGAAATGAAAGTCACTGCATTGTCCTCTCAAGTGATGGAAACAAGCCCGTGTGTGAGATTTGTCTTTATCTTATCCAGCTTTACTGACTCCCCTGTGTGCTACAATTTCCTGCTTTAATCTGATTTCTCCTGTAACCTGGTTTCTTCTGTGCATGTAAACAGAGCGCTTGCAGGGAAACGCTACAGTTTCTAAACCGCACAGAACCACGTCGTTCTCAACTGGGTCTAAATTTTAAGATCCACCTTTTGCTTGTGTACATTTTGGATCAGTTTCTTCTGTTTGTCAGAACCTTAAGTTTAGCAGCAAGATGAGCTTCGCAAGCGGCAGTCGCTGGTTATTTAAGCCGCAACTGCACCACAGAAACTCCTTCGTATCATCTCTAATATCATTTCCTGTCTCTTATCTCATGTCAGGAGGATCATTCTGAGGCTCCGCTTCAATATTTGTTTGTGTACAATGGATGTGACCAATATAAGTTCAGGAAAAAGTCCAACTTTACCCTTTGAGGTTTTACAGTGTTTGGTGCATCACATGTGTATGTTAGCCTGTATGTAATTATGAAACGTCCACATTTGTATTAATCATCATTTATCTTCGGTTATCGGTACACTGACTATAAATGCCGTTAGAAAAACATAGTTGTAATAGGACACCAAACACACAGAGCGTCTTAAATGTCTCCATTTATCATTATGAGAGGTGTGGCATTGGCTGATTAAAACCAAGTAGTATCTTCATGAAACACAGTCCCATGTAGGTTAAACTGTACAGCTAATACATCATAATTAATATCACATGCTTAAAAAAACATGATAGCTCCAAACCAAAAAGAAAAAAAAGCAGTGGTTAATGTGTGGGAAACTATTCGCAGTGGAGAGCACAAAATGTTTATCACCAAGTCACGTTGCCTCTTAATGATTTGAATCAAGTGGTCCTCACATTTCCCAGGCTGTCAGCAGAAATGACCTTTATCACCGCGGCACGTCTGTGCGAAATTCTGCACAGATATCAGAGGCACGTTAGGTTTTCCTGCCCAGCGAAGGTGCCACATTCATGAAAATTCATGCAGAGATATTTTACTGGTGAGAAATGCTTTTTGGTCCCAAGGCAAAAAAAAAATAGAGAAGGAAACAAATTTAAAAACAAATTAATATGCAGCCAAAATAGGGGGAATTAATTAATTCCATGAGCAATTTATTAACGTACAGTGCTCGCGGGTAGGTGTAGTTTCAGAAATGTTTTCCGTTGGAGGATAGTTGCCTCGTAACTGTCTGTTAAATTGCAAATTCTGTGTTCCAGTAAGACCCGATCGAGTCAAATAAGCCTCTTTAAATGCATGAGAGCGAATGTCTGTAAACACAAGAGTCACAACTGAGGTGTCACCTTTAAGTTTCTTTTTATTAAATGCTTAAGAGCACAGCAGATTTTAGCTAAATAAACTGTCATAATTTACTCCTTTGTGGCT